AATAGACATGATTGCCGTGAGCGATCGAGACAGATAGTGACGCCACGCATTGAGACGGAGATGCGTCTGACACCAGTTAGTACGATTCGCTCATTCGTCTACTGCGCACCTTTCTGTATTCGCTTGTGTTGATTTAGGCCACGCCGCTGATTGCAATTTTTTGTCACCGTGATTTATTATTACTGTCACCTGCTGTCACCCACGATGCGCTCACTGAATCTGTTCTTGGGTAACAAATCGCGTTCATTTTTGTAATTGGACTTGCAACAAGGTTGCCGTGATTTTTGCTCTTGAAATACGTAGAAGAAGAAATGAAACGGAAGCAAAACGCTGCTGGAGTTTATCGTGAGCATCCCTATATACACGGAAAGATTATTTAAAGGAAAATTCTACACTATATATTCTGAATTACGAGGAAGAAGTGTTGCAAGAGGTCGCAGATGATACAAGTATTTCCGTTCGTGAAATTGAAGAAAGAACGGGAATACCCAAAAGCACATCACATCGTATTTTACAAAGAGCCGACATGCATCCGTTTCACGTACAACGCGTTCAAAGTCTTCTTCCTCGAGATTATCCTGAAAGGATTTCATTTTGTAGAACAATGCTACAGAGGCATAACGGAAATCCCCAATTCATTCAAAAAATTCTCTGGTCAGATGAATCTACATTTAAAAAAGATGGTTACATAAACTTACACAATTTTCCCGAGTGGCATGTGGCGAATCCACATTTAATGCGAGAAGACAGATCCCAGTATCGCTTTAAAGTAAAGCTGTGGACCGGAATTTTAAACGGCAAAATTGTTGGGCCTTTTGAGCTGCCTGAGAATTTTAATGGCACGAATTACTTACATTTTTTACGAGAAAATTTACCAACTTTGTTAGAGGACGTACCACTAGCAGATCGTCGCCACATGTGGTATCAACAAGATGGCTGCCCAGCGCATTATGCGGTGCAAGTAAGAGATTTTCTTGACCAGGAATATCCGGCAAGGTGCATTGGACGTTCAGGCACTATCTCGTGGCCAGCCCGTTCCCCAAATTTAAATCCCCTGGATTTTTTTTATTGGGGCGTTCTCAAAGAAAAAGTTTATTCAAAGCCCATTGACAGGGTAGCCGAGCTGCGTGAACGAATTTCTCAAGCTGCTGAGGACATCAACTCTCGAGGATATGCCCGACTAATAACTAGATCTTTTTTTAAGATGTAGGGCGTGTATTGAGGCTGATGGTAAACCATTTGAACACTTATTGTAATAAAAAAATGTTATTTCCCTATCTGACTTTTATTTCAATAAACCTAAACTAAACTAGGTCAAGATTTTTCATTATTTTGTTAATTTTACTTACTTTTGTTGACTTTTGTAAAATTGGCGTCACTATCTGTCTTGCTCGCTCATGGCAAACATCTCCACTATCCATCTCTCAAATCAATACATTTGAACTAAGTAAAATGGGTTACCAAAAATCGGGTTACTCGAGGTTTTTATTTATTTACTTGTTTTTTTTTTTTTTTTTTGGAATAAAACCAACAAGTATTGTACCATTTTACAATCCTGATTAAATGCGCAAACTTTTAATGGCACTTGCCAAGGCACTTTAGTACATTTTTTTTAAAGGAAGGACCTTTCAAATTCGACAAATGTTGAAAATTTTAAATTCATAGTTTAGCAAACAGTCTTAATTCCAGAAAACTTGGGGCAGTTGTCTCATTATTTTTGACTGTTGTTCTAGAAATCTTATTTAGGATTACGGTTCCAAAGTTTAGATGAACAAAAATAATGAAAATTAATCACAAAAACCGAAAAATGGTTACAGTTTCACCAAAATTCTAGATTTTTCTTAAATGCCCATAATTTCCGAACTGCATGGGATAGATTTTTTTTTCTGATTTTACTCATGATCGTAACAATCATTCCTGTCACCCTGTTTCGGCTTGACGTTGAGTTCTGGGACACCCTGTATATATACAAGAATTGCTCATTTAAAGGTATAGGATATTATATATACCATTACAGCCTATTAAAGTCTACTGCTAAACATAGGCCTCCCCCATAGATTGCCTCACAGGGGGAATAATTGTCATAGTTGCCACGCTAGGCAAGTGGGTTTGCCACCTCAGTTTTTTTATTCGTTATTAGGAAGACGCTGCTGCCCATCTCCTAATTTGCTTCCCTCTGCCGCCTTTTATGACACCCGCGAGATGATATGGGATAGTGAATATTCTTACACCGCCACTACACGGTAGGAAAATGGTGAAATGTTGTAGTTTTTGAAATATCTTCCAGAACAAAAACACTTTTTTTAATTAAAGTTGGGTGACAGGTGTGTAGACAGTTCACCTGATGGTACTATGTCAATTGAGAATCAAAACGCAGATGCGTTGTCACCCCTGGTACGAGGAGTGAATATTCTTGTGCCGGCATTACACCGTTATAGCCTATCAAAGGTCCACTGCTCAACACAGTTGTCACGCCTGGCAGACGGATGCATGAAGGTTAGAGAACAGGAGAACGATCGCCGTAGAAAATAGTGTCCCAGAAATATGGACACCATAAGTGAGGCGCTGCGATCACTAAGTTCGGTCAATAAAAGTCATTTTCAGTCTATTTTTTCGATCAGATGCTAAACCACTTGCACATCCACGCACAATAAAATATTTCTCCATTTTTTAAAGTTTCTTTTGTCAAAAATTACAAAATTACGGAGCATGAAAATTTTATCATAAAAAATGAAATGAAAAAATGTACATAATTCAACCAACTTCATCTACTTGTATTCATAATCAGCTAACTTCGCAGTCACTACTCACCGACGTCAGCGCCGCTATAAATTCTACAATTTTCAGGGACAGGCGGGCTATGCTTTAGTACGTAGTGATCGTTCTCCTGTTTCAAAACCTTCATGGACGGATGGGTAACCGCAGTTCATTTTTGTTTAGTTGTTATTAGGAAGATGCTGCCGCCCATCTCCTTTTTAGTTTCCCTCTGTCGCCTCTTACGATATGATACGGGGTAGTGAATATTCTAACACCGCCACTATATGACACACAACTATTGTATACTTCACAAAAAACTATTATTGTTTGCGTAAAATTTGTAAATTGTGTTTTATCAGGACTGAGCCCCTGGCCTTGCCCGCTCCACCGTCCTCCACTCCAGCGTATTTGCAAGCCTTTACATCCGGAAGTCGTAAGTAATATTAAATATTCTCAGATAAAAGCTGCTCTAAACTGTTGAAATAATGCCTTAAGACAAAAAATCGTGTAAGAAATAACCTTGTATAGATTATAAACAACATAACCGCTCGGATGCCCACTATGTAATTTCATTATGTCATTAAAGTGCCCGAGCGCCACTTGTGGCTACCCGTCAAGTGCGCCTAACTGCATAGATAAAAAAACAAGCGTCCTACTTGCAGGGTTACACAAAAACAGATATTGTGAGTTAACTTTTTCGAATAACAGAGCAAGTGTTTGTTTTTTGTGTTGCTGAATGAATGAGTCATTGAACTTGGGTATTATAATTTAATTTATGATACCTTGTTTTTAAATAGAGACTCGTAAATTTGTAAATAGTGAATTTCGAGCGCAACTTTTGCAAAGCTGTTCATAAATCAAAAAGCAAATCGATGACGTAGGGATTTTTTATTCAAAAAACCTTATTGAGAACACACACAGTAAGAAAATAATTTAAAAGATACCTATCGTAGTACAAAAACATACTATTACAGGACTTACCAAACGTTTAGGCGGCGCGCAGCGTAAATATGAGAACTTAAGGTGGCCCTAGTCGATGGCACGAACTAAGTGGTGGGCGGGGTAAAAATGCATTCTATCACAGCCGACATCACGTGCTAAAGGGATAGACGCTGTGATGAGCAGTAAGAAGCTAGTGCGCACACACATACGCACTCGAGTGACGCAATGTGCGACGGCGTCATCGCGTACCTACCTATGCGATTCATTTTTGAATAATAACATAAACTCAAACGACAATTGTAAGCTCCGTGTCGCAGTGGCTTAGCAATGATGCTGCGCTGGGGGCCGCGGGTTCAAATCCCGCACGGAACAAATATTTGTGTGGCCTACAAATAGTTGTTCCGGGTCTTGATGTTTGTCCTTGTGCAATTTATGTTTATAAACTGCCTCCACGATACTGGAGAAAATCCTACTGTGGGGGTAACGTATTTTAAAAAGAGAAATGAGAGAGAAAACAAATTGGTGTTATTATAACTTATGATCTGCTGTGTGAAACGTAATTATTATGAACCCAATTTATGTAGTTGTTATTATGAAAGTTGTGAACTTAAGTAGATGTTGTGATTATGTAATAATTTCATTGATTTGTTTTTACCTACATTTTAACCGACTTCGAAAAAAGGAGGTGGTTCTCAATTCGTTGGTTTTTGTTTATGTAAGGTACTTGATACAAATAAGGCCTATGTTGTGATAACCATATTTCAATAATAATTCACGCGACCGCACGTAACGGTCCTATAAATCACACAAATGCGTGGGCGTCCCGCTACCCCTCCCAGTCGCCAGTTGACACGCGTTCTTCGAGCAAGGTGGACGATTTCGCGCCAATTTGTAAAACACTGGAGATTTCGAGGTATTTTAGCTAAAATTACTTAGTTTTTGTGTACGATAATTTAAACAACTATTTTCTTAATATATTTACTAACGTTTTGTGTCGTTAGACTTAAGACTTGTCCGTTGATGTACTTTTTGTATATTTTTAAAGATAATTTGAGCGGGATGTTTAATAAGGCCTAGGCCTTATTTGTTGCGCGATAAACCTTATTTGTGACAGGCCTTATTGAATATACCGCTTTTTTTCAACAATGTTGGTACATTATGTCATTGCTTGACCGACCATTTGGTGATAATAATTGATTTTGGTGACAATGCAGTGTCGGCGGGTTTGGCAATCTCTATTTTCTTAATTTTCAATATTCTATTGCAGAGTTATTAGTACCTGTCATCAGTCCCCCAGCAAGATGTCTCCATCAAAACAAAAACGCGCTACCTGGTCAGAAGATAGTTTGGCCGCGGCAGTTCGTGCGGTACGTAATGGAATGTCAACTTATAAAGCATCAGCACAATATGGTATCCCGCGAAGAACTATAAGAAACCATGTCAAAAATGGGAAGATCACCAAAAGATTAGGAAGACAGACTATATTCACTTCAGATCAAGAAAAAGATTTTATAAAACGAATAATAAAGTTCTCGCAGCTGGGTATACCTTTGACTCCGAAAATGATCAGAATACAGGCGTTTGCTTTTTGTCAGAAATTTAGTATTCCTCATAACTTTAACGAACAATCAGGGCTTGCTGGAAAAGGATGGTTGAGGATGTTTTTAAAAAGAAACCCAGAGCTGGCCAAACGTAAGGCACAGTTTCGAAATCCAGCCTGTGCCCAAAAATTAAATAAACCCATTGTATTCCACCATTTTGAAGAAGTAAAAAAAACTTTACGATGAACTGGAATTGCATGATCATCCAGAAAAAAATTATAACGTGGATGAAAAGGACTGCAGGCTTACGTTACATCACCAGCAGACAGTGATCTCACAAAAAGAAGCAAAGAGGGTACATATACAAGTGGCAGAACATGGAGAAAATGTAACAGTTTTTGGTTGCGCCAATGCGATTGGAAATCCTGTACCTCCAATGATTTTGTTTAAAGGAAAAAGGAAGATGGCAGAGTATGAAAAAAAAATTCCTCCAGGGTCTATTGTTCAAATGGCTAGAAAAGGGAGCATGACAGCAGACCTATTCATCATCTTTATTAAACACCTAGCCAAATATAAAACATTTGGAAAATGTTTACTCATTTTTGATGGCGCAAAGTGCCGCTTGGATTTTCGCATCCAGAAAAAAATTATAACATGGATGAAAAGGGCTGCAGGCTTACGTTACATCATCAGCAGACAGTGATCTCACAAAAAGAAGCAAAGAGGGGGGTACATATACAAGTGGCAGAACATGGAGAAAATGTAACAGTTTTTGGTTGCGCCAATGCGATTGGAAATCCTTTACCTCCAATGATTTTGTTTAAAGGAAAAAGGAAGATGGCAGAGTATGAAAAAAAAATTCCTCCAGGGTCTATTGTTCAAATGGCTAGAAAAGGGAGCATGACAGCAGACCTATTCGTCATCTTTATTAAACACCTAGCCAAATAAATACATTTGGAAAATGTTTACTCATTTTTGATGGCGCAAAGTGCCGCTTGGATTTTCCCATCGTAGAAGAAGCTGAAAAAAATGACATAGTGCTGTATTGTCTGCCATCGAATACTACGCACGAGTTGCAACCTATGGACAAGACTTGTTTCAAGCCATTTGAGACGTATTGGGATCAAGAAGTTTTACAATTTCTTTACGAAACTCGTGCAAAAGGCAATCTCAAAACAGCAGTTCAATAAAATATTAACACGAGTGTGGGCCAAGTGTATGACTACAGCAAACATTACTAGTGGGTTCAGAGCGACCGGTCTTTATCCACTTAATCCTAATGCAATACCAGAAACTGCTTTTGCCCCATCAATTTTAACCCAAAGATCAATCCATTCCGTCTTGTCAATGAAAATGAAGTACTTGGACATCCTTCACTAAACTCCGATACTGCAATGGACACACATGATGAATCCTGCTCCTCGCCACCCATTGCCACTTTACGAGAATTAAGAGATCTGATTGTAACGGAAATTCTGCCAGGAATACCTGACACGCCAGATATTCAAGTATTTGAAAATTATTCTTCTGTGCGTCATACGCCAGCATTCGCTGATGATGAAAATTTGCCGTGGACTAGTGGAATACACAATAAACAGTCTCTTGTAGCTTACAGCGACACAGACGAATCTTCCGACACCGAAACAAAAAACAAATTTGTACTATCTAAAATTATCAGCAAAATTTTAAACAGACCTCTTCCAGTACGACGTTTGAGGATTTATTGGTCTACTGATTCACTGAAACTGAAACACTGAAACAGACGTCACGAACGAAGGATCCAAAGTAGTATCTGTTCCTCAGTCTCCACAAACTTTTGAGGTCGCCGTAGATGTACATCTGTCTCCTAAATCAAAAATAAACCAAGTACCTGAAAGATCCGAACATATTTTACCTCTATCTCAGCATTCAAAATCCATCATTTCAGCAAGTCCAATAATTTCATACCTACCTCGGCCTCAATGTACTTCAAGCCCTAGAAATTCATCACAAGACTCACCAGATGAAGATAACGTCTCTTTAGCGCAAATAAGTACAAAATCTCCATTCCAGAAATTTATGCCAACACCTGATTATGGCGATATTAAAACTAAACCACGAAGAAAAAAAAACCTTCAAAGAGTAACAAAAGATTTGTTTAAAATTAAAGATACAAAAGTCGGTGAAAAAAAAACCCCTCGAAACACATATATCAAGGTACTAAAAAAGAAAGCAGTTTCAGATAAAATAAAAAAAACCTGTAAGAAAAGACACAAATTCGAAATCAAATAAAAAGACTGAAAAGAATAGCACTAAGAAGAACGTAAAAACAAGAAGGAGGAAGAAGAAAGTTGGTACTGTCACGCCTGTGATGAAGACAAAGTCGCAGATATGAGATCTTGCAGGGACTGTTCTAGGTGGTATCACGATGAATGCATTGGACTCACGACAGAGGATGTTAACGCCTTTTTATGTCCTGTCTGTGATTAATTTGAGATCTCTTTTAGTTTATAAGAATTTAAGACTGATGAAAGTTGCTATTTAATTTGATTTCTTTTGTGGCCTTAACTTTACAATAACCTTTTACATCAGACACGGTATTGTAATAAGGCCTACCAAAAAAATAATAAAAAAAAGTTTTTTTTTGTATTTTTTGGAATAAAGGTGTAGTTAAGTATTTATTTGTTACAGTGACAATTTAATTTCATTGATATTTTACTTAATTTTGTTAATAATAGAAGGTTTATTCCAATCGCATGATAAAAAGGCTAAATATTTTTATTTCTTTGTGAAACTTTTTATAACTTTAGGAAACCAAACTGTCTAATATTATGAAACCTCATTTTGGTAAGTTTAAGATTAGTTTTGGAGAATTTTTAATTTGAAGTATATAGGCCTTGTTGCGTATACGCGATTTTGGCCAAAATGTTTGTTTTTGAAAATTAATTTTTTTGTTAAGATTTTGTTAAAAAGTTGAAAACGTTTTTTGTGATTCGTTTAATTAATGAATAAAAGATGCTAATTAACTATGTATTTTATTACATTCATTTATATTTTTGATAATATAGCCATTTAAAATTAGATTTCTTATATTTACGCGAACACTACACATTGAAATAATACTAGTTTTTACGGAATTTATCGCGTATATTTAACTTTTTAATTGCCCGACGTTTCGAGAGCTTTACAGCACCCATGGTCACGGGAAGGACTGAGATGTTCAACGTCCAGCTGTCATAGTTAACCGCGGTTACCATAGATTAAAATTTAACTTTTGTTCCGATCTACACAGTATGAACTTATGGTATCATGGAGTCTTGCAGTTGTATGCTTGGGTTGGGATTTAATTTTATTTATTATAGGATCCCAAGCAGATGGTAGCACCCAGCCATCTTCTCTATTGAAATTAGGATGTTTTTTGATTTCAATAGCCTCGCGAATCATCCTTGGAAGGAATCGGTGTTCTTTAGCGAGGATTTGTGGTCTATCAAATCTGATGTAGTGACGGGGGCGATCCTGTACATGTTCACAGACTGCAGACTTCCCGGAGCGTCGATTCTTCACATCAGCTATATGTTCTTTGACGCGGGTTTTAATGGATCTTTTAGTTTGGCCTATGTAGGAGAGACCACATTCACAATCAAGCTTATACACTCCTGCATCTTGCAGAGGGACGTTACACTTGACTGATGGTAAAAACTGACCAATCTTCTTCGGCGGCTTGAAGTATGTTTTGATGGAAGCGCGCTTCAAGATGTAGCCAATCTTGTCAGTGACTCCTCTAACATATGGCAGTACAGCAGGTACACGCTCGACTGTGGCCGGCTTTCACTCGTTCTCTGTGACGTAGGCGCGGGACCCGAAGCTTGTTGTCATGCAAAACTTGCTTGACATGTTGGGGCTCGGCAGCCAGGTGTTTACTGTCACAGATCCCTCGTGCTCTCTGAAACAAAGATTTACCCACGGTAGCTAACTGTGAAGGATGGTGGTGAGAATCACCGTTTAAATATCTATCTGTATGGGTCTTTTTTCTATACACAGTACCATACATATAACACCTTGAGCCATACTGTGTATAGAAAAAAGACCCATACAGATAGATATTTAAACGGTGATTCTCACCACCATCCTTCACAGTTAGCTACCGTGGGTAAATCTTTGTTTCAGAGAGCACGAGGGATCTGTGACAGTAAACACCTGGCTGCCGAGCTCCAACATGTCAAGCAAGTTTTGCATGACAACAAGCTTCGGGTCCCGCGCCTACGTCACAGAGAACGAGTGAAGCCGGCCACAGTCGAGCGTGTACCTGCTGTACTGCCATATGTTAGAGGAGTCACTGACAAGATTGGCTACATCTTGAAGCGCGCTTCCATCAAAACATACTTCAAGCCGCCGAAGAAGATTGGTCAGTTTTTACCATCAGTCAAGTGTAACGTCCCTCTGCAAGATGCAGGAGTGTATAAGCTTGATTGTGAATGTGGTCTCTCCTACATAGGCCAAACTAAAAGATCCATTAAAACCCGCGTCAAAGAACATATAGCTGATGTGAAGAATCGACGCTCCGGGAAGTCTGCAGTCTGTGAACATGTACAGGATCGCCCCCGTCACTACATCAGATTTGATAGACCACAAATCCTCGCTAAAGAACACCGATTCCTTCCAAGGATGATTCGCGAGGCTATTGAAATCAAAAAACATCCTAATTTCAATAGAGAAGATGGCTGGGTGCTACCATCTGCTTGGGATCCTATAATAAATAAAATTAAATCCCAACCCAAGCATACAACTGCAAGACTCCATGATACCATAAGTTCATACTGTGTAGATCGGAACAAAAGTTAAATTTTAATCTATGGTAACCGCGGTTAACTATGACAGCTGGACGTTGAACATCTCAGTCCTTCCCGTGACCATGGGTGCTGTAAAGCTCTCGAAACGTCGGGTAATTAAAAAGTTAAATATACGCGATAAATTCCGTAAAAACTAGTATTATTTCAACATTTAAAATTAGATAGGCCTTATTTGTATCAACTACCTTATGTTCTGTCCCCCGATTTCTCGAAGATGCCTGAATCTATTTGGAAAATTATTTTTTTGTTTGAAAGGATATATTTTCCAGATAATCCCACGGTAATCGATTATGGTCAGGTCAGGATCTGATGATGGAATCTTGGAGAAATCGAGGGCACTCTTCAATGAATGACAGCAAATCAACCGTGATTGCTGCTATCACCTATCTATGCATTCTTTACGCAATCACACAATAT